CAGCTCTGCCTGTGTCCAGTTCACAATTCCAGCAGTGTATCTAATGACGGGGATGGCCCAGGTGTTGATAGCCTTGATCGTATTTCCGCCATTTAATTTGCTCTTCAAAATTTTTCTGACTCTTTGGATATATTCTTTGCTGACCACATTTTTCACATGCCCATGCTTGATATTGTCCAACTGTAGTATGCCCAGATATTTATAGGCTTCAGGCTGATTTCATTTGATGATTTATCCATTTGGCATCTCTATGCCCTTGCTGTGTGTAATTTTCCCTTTCTTTAATACCACATTTGTCTAGGCCAAACTCCATACTGATGTCAGTTCTGAAGATTCTGACTGTGTTGGTCAGTGACTGGATTTCTGTTTCTGATTTTCTGTAAAGCTTTAGATCATCCATGTACAGCAAGTGGGAATTTTTTGGTGAATTTCTTGCTGTTTGGTAGCCCGGGTTTGTTTTCTGTAGAATCACTGACTGTGGGATCATTGCAGTGATGAACAGCAGTGGTGGCAGTGAGTTGCCCTGGAAAATTCCTCTCTTGATGTTAACAGTTCTATAGTTTTCATTGCCCACAAACAACTCAGTTTTCCGTTGTTGTTATTGTTATTAAAAGATACTGCACAATTTAAAATGTTCATTACTTTTTACCTTCATGTCTCTAACAGACACCATCATCATCTGATCACTTTTGAGGAGACCCTCCATCATAACCTGAACATTCCTCAAGGACATGCTAACACTTTGAGCCACTAAGAACTCATCTATGATGGTGCGGAAGACACATATAGCATTCCCTCTGAAGACAATGGCGTGGGATACAATATCTGGGTAATTCAATGAACTCACTTGGGTTTTGTACAATGATGACTATCCCGTTAGAAATCTTTTTCACACATACGACTTCTTCACTTGTGAGAACCACACAAAGTCCAAATGCCTCCATTAGTATTAATCATGCTGCGTAGATTATCATTCATCTATGCAATCACAACAGAATTTTCTCCCACCATTACAATCCTAGAAATCATTGGTCTATCATAAATTAACATGTTCACTGTGATGTTTCTCCTTCTGAGTCTATTAATGGATTTCTCAGTCTACTAATTTCTTAAGACAAAAAGTTCTCATACAGAACGGAAACCCTAACATATACAGTGTAATTTCAGTGCAATCCATATAGAGTAATTTAGAATCATAGACTATTAGTTGGACGAGACCACATGGGCCATCTCGTCCAACCTCTGCCATGCAGGAAAAGCACAATCAAAGTACCCCTGGCAGATGATCATCCAGCCTCTGTTTAAAATTTCCAAGGAAGGAGCTTCTACCCCCACTCCAAGGCAGAGAGTTCCACTACTGAACAGCTCTTACAGCCAGAAGTGGAACTCTATACTTTGGAGTGTGGTGGAAGCTCCATATGTATGCTTAAGTGTAATAAAACCTAAAGGAATTGAATATCTTGTATCCCTGCATTATAACTATAAACTATAAACCGCATTGAGTCGCCTGTTTGGGCTGAAAAATGCGGTATAGAAATAAAGCAAATAAATAATAAATAAATAAACTACTGTCTAGAAGCAGCTCTCCTCAAGTTACCCAAGCCCAGGTGACAGACTTTGCAAAACATTTCTTTTTAAATGCATGTATTCTGAAACAACCAAGCTACTGCAATAATAGAATCTGTAAGTGCATCAACAAGCCAAGATGTAAAGGTCAAGGTGCTGAAAGGTGCCAACAGACTAAAATGGCAGTGTCATTCCAAAGGTTTGGAACATCACCGACTTTGGGTGTTGAGTATCCATCCCCTCACTCCCAATTTATTGACAGGTTATCCAAACTGGAAGAAAAGCTGTATCTCGAATACCTGCTTCCAAAAGCTTCCAGGTATTATGCGTACAATTTCCCAAGAGAAATATGAATAAGGAAGAGAAAGCAAACTCACACAAAGACAATAGTTCCATCTAACAGGAGTTCCACTTGAATGACAGTGCCTAAGGTAAACAATTTTATCAGACACCAATAATGAAGCACCAGGGAATACGGAAAGGACAGAAGCAACAAGATATGGTAAAGCGTAATTGTAAACAACTCAGCATGTTCTTGGTTGAGTTTTCTCTGCTGATTTAGGATGCTTTCCTCAAATTCAAGAATGCACAACAAATGGGGACGGGGGTGGATGTTGAGAAAACTCCACCATCAATTAACATCCTTGTTTCAGGAGGCAAAAAGAAGGACTTTTGTTCTCATCTCAGAAAACTGTGAGCAGGTTGGAAAGCAGCAGGGAGCAAGGCTGCAAACTGCAAATGCATTTCAGACAGGATGTACCTGTTACATACAGATCCAAAATGCTGAGTTCATGCTCCATCCTTAAAGTGATGGTGGTCAAGAATGCAACAGTATCACCCCAAAATGTGTGTGCCTATGTGTCCAAGCACATCAATTTATGTATGTATGCATGTATTCATAGGTCTATGTGTGTGTGGAGGGGGGATGTTTCCAAAGGTACCAATTTTTTTAATGAAAAATTAGTTCTAGGTGGCAGCACAATTTTGGTTAGAAGTAGAATATTATGTTACAGATCAAAACTACCAAATATATAAAATCATTTCAGTACAGGGCTTGGAAAATTGCTTATTTTTAACAAAAGGATGCATATCTTCAGCACATTTTTTTGATTCCTGTAAAAAAAATTCAGATGGATTTGATACCTTTTGGAAATAAACCCCACATATGTTTGTCTGTGTGTGTGTGTGTGTGTGTGTGTGTATACAGGCAGTCCCCAAGTTAAAAACAAGATAGTTTCTGTAGGTTTGTTCTTAGAATCATAGAATCCTAGAGTTGGAAGAGACCTCATGGACCATCCAGACCAATGCCCTGCCAAGAAGAAGAAAAATCACATTCAAAGCACCCTGACAGATGGCCTTCCAGCCTGTTTAAAAGCCTCCAAAAAAGGAGCCTCCACTACACTCTGGGGCAGAGAGTTCCACTGCTGAACGGCTCTCACAGTCAGAAGTTCTTCATAATGTTCAGGTGGAATCTCCTTTCCTGTAGTTAGAAGCCATTGTTCCATGTCTCCTGGGAAGCAGAAAACAGGCTTGCTCCCTCATCATGTCTCCTCTCAGCCTTCCCTTCTGCAAGCTTAACATGCCCAGCTCTTTAAGCTGCTCCTCATAGGGCTTGTTCTCCAGACCCTTGATCATTTTAGTTGCCCTCCTCTGGACACATTCCAGCTTGTCAACATCTCCCTTCAATTGTGGTGCCCACAATTGCACACAGTGTGATTCCAGGTGTGGTCTGACCAAGGCAGTGTAGAGGGGTAGCATGACTTCCCTGAATCTAGACATTATACTCCTATTTATGCAACCCAATATCCTGTTGTCTTTTTTTTACCACCACATGACACTGTTGGCTCATGTTTAAGTTGTTGTCTACAAGGACGTCAAGATCTTTTTCACATGTGCTGCTGTTGAGCTAGATGTCCCCCATTCTGCATCTTTGCATTTCTTTCTTTCTTTCTTTTTTTTGCCTAAGCGGAGTATTTTGCATTTGCCACTGTTGAACTTCATTTTGTTAGTTTTGGCTCATCATCTCTCTAATCTGTTAAGATCATTTTGAATTCTTAAGTTGAATTTGTATGTAGGTTGGAACAAGTACCATTTAAAATGTAACTTCAGCCAAATATACATATTTTTTAGCTTTGGATACCATAGGAAAGGGTTTTACACTCCTGTGGTGTTTGTTTATTGTCTGTGCCCCTGTTCAGAAGATTTCACCTCACTTTCTGTCCCTGTGAGAACTGGATTTTGAAAAAATAAACTTACTGTGAAAACAAGGATTAGTGATAAAGCTTCAGTTGAGATACCTTTTCCCCATGATAATAATTCTCTCATGGGCAAATTTCCCTTTTTATAGGAGTAGATTTCTCTCACTTCCTGTTGTATCATCCCCGTTTGTAACTATGAGTTGTTTGTAAGTAGGCTGTTTGTAACTCTGGGACTGCCTGTACATTGATGTACCTGGACACATGCACACACTTTTTGGGATGCTTGCCTAAAGATAAGACCTGCAGGGTAAACCCCTTACAGCATTCAGGACACATACAACTTCCCCTTTGCTGGGTGACTCCCCAAGGAAACAGGGGAAGCAGGTTCTGCATATCTTTGGTATGGTTAAGTTTAAACTATGATGAAGTTTAATTTAAAATAGAAAGATCTGTGTTCAAAATGTATTTCAAAAAAGAAATAAAAATGAGCAGTAGGAGCACCCACATTCTACTCACCCTCAACACAGTTCCCCAAATGTTTACAACAGAGCACTGATAGATTGCATGTAAAAATGAGAAGACTGCCAAAATCTTGTTGGTGCACTCTGCTACTGCTTCCATTTTTTCCAAGGGTTGGGTGCAGTGGTAATGAGAAAAGGCAGACAAAATTAGCTGGCTCCAGGCAGCCTATTTCTCCAAAGCCTCACTTCCTTCACAGCAATGCTTGCTACAGCCTTTTTCCTTTTGTTAACACTGCCTATCCTGGCAGAATGAACCAACAGAATTCCATCCAAAATTTGATTGCATATCTGTGCAAACATATAGGCTGCCTTGATTGTGTTTTGTTTTGAAGGTGGTTCATTGGAATCATGATTGGAAAGGCAGGGCCAACACTGTAATCAGCCTCCAGCTTGCTGGAGTGGATGGGTGTAAGGCAAATTGTATAGACTATCACACTGCAGGAAAAGAACCTATTTGCGGTTATTGACAAAAAACACAAAACAAAACCCTGAATTCACTCTGATTTTTTTTTTTACAAATCAGAACAGGGTGCCTAAGCTTTCATGTTCTTTCAGTTTTAAATCTCCTCTCCTTTCACATCAGGGGAAAATAATCTAAGCATTGTGGCTTCGTTCTTGGCCTTGACGCTGCGTAATGACCATTAGAAAGAGCTTCTTCTACCAAAATGAGAATAAATAACAAGAATTCATAAAAGTTTTAAAAGCAGCTACTCACCCTGTGAGAACCACCACAAAGTCCATCACATTCCAGCCATTCCTTAGGTAGGAGCCTTTGTGGAAGGCAAATCCTAAGGCAATAATTTTAATTCCAGCTTCAAAACAAAATATTCCAATGAAATACGGTTCTGTGTCATCCTAAAGAAATATACAGAGGAGGAAACATTTATTATAATTACATTTTGTACCCAAAATCCTGGTCTTTCCCCTGGGCAACATACATGATTTCCTCCCTCCATTTTATCCTCATCACAATCCAGTAAGGTAAGCTTGACTGAAACATAAACTGCGTGGTTCAGGGTCACCAATAAACCTGAAGAGTGAGGATTCCTCTCCATAGTTCATGCCTGAGGCTGCACCTGTGTATATATACTGGGGCGACCTTTACCTGTCATAAAACACTCCCAGAGCATCAGATAGACAAGTTTTACAAAATGTTGCAAAACACAATTTTCTGCCATTCATACGATATGCAATCTGACCTTGGCAACTATAGTCAGTATCTATGCAACTCAGGCTATAACCCTGTCCACACTTATCTGGGAGACTGTTTCTCTGAGCTCATGTATTTAATATCATTGCTTAAAACACTCTCTTTAAAATTACATTATGGAAACAAATCTGCTTAGTGAGGCTGTTGGTGAGCCAATCAGGAAATGCTGTTGTGTGTCTTCTAGTCATTTCTGACTTATGGCAAGTCTAAGGTGATTCCAACACAGGGTTTTCTTTGCAAGATTTGTTCAGAGGGGTTGGCTTTTGCTTTTGTCTGAGGCTGACTGGCCCAAGATCACCCAGTGGATTTCCATGGCTGAGAAGGGATTCAAATCCTGGTCTCCAGTCATAATCCAATGCTTTATAGAAGCCGTTGGCTTACGCCTTAACCTGCCTTATTGAAAGGAAGGCATAACTTGGCTGCCATTCTGCTCTACCCTAAGCATGTTTCAAGAGGAAAAGAACATTACTTACCAATCGTTCTGACATTGGTGTCTTGTCATCATCAGGCAGATGCTGCTCCAGAGCAAGGACAATGCAGTTTGCTATGATGGTTGCTAAAATCATGTATTCAAAAGGAGTGAGGCGGAGTTAAGGAAAATCTGTCATATGGCGGAATGTGTGAGTGATGACCAAAATAAAGAAGACTCAAGCATTCTCACACATATAGATTCTATAGATTAGTTAACATACTGAAAAACGTCATAAAAAAGCCCTCTAGCTTGGGCTGTTTTGCCAGAGAACTCAGATCATTGGGTTGTTTAAAAGTGCTACAAATAAATAGTGCCAAGTCAACATCCTTCTTTTAACTTGATTGAAAGGCACGGAAAATGGGGACACATGTGTAAGCATGTGTCTAATGGATGAAAAATACAGGGAACCAAAACTACCGGATTCAAGTGAATGCAGATACAAGGAGCAAAACAACAAAACAAACAAACAAAAAAACCCCCAAAAACTGGAAAAGTTGCATTCACATAGCTGTCCTTCATATCGAATCTGATCTATGGGCAATCTTTCATACGATAGGATTTTCTTTAGAAGACTATGCTATTGCCTTCTTCTGATGTAGAGAGTTTGTGACTTATTCAAGTTCATCAAGTGGGTTCCCTTGGCTCAAGATTGAAATAAGGATATTCCAGAATTCACTCCACTACACCAGCTCCCCTTGCAGAAATTTCTTGGGGAGCATAACAGCACATAGTCCATGACCACAAACCTAGAACTGCCTTGACTGTACACTTGTTTGGGAACTGTAACTATTCCTGGTTCTCTGATAAGCTCAACTGTATGACACTGGACTTGTTTATTGAAACCACACCATGCATTTTCTAGTGTACACCCAAAAGAATCATGTGTGAAGGAAGCCTTATAATTTTTTTTTGCAGGACCTTCCATACTGGAGATAATTGTTTCTTATCTGACCATCTGATGATACTACAAAAAGCAGTACAACACATTTACCAGTCATAATTTGTACCTAACATGTGAATGATGTACCTATCATGTTAATTTGTACCTATCATATTAATGAAAATATAAGAGGATGAGATCACACAATGATTTTTCTGAGTGGGTGGTGAAGGGGCAAATTGATGAAAACATTTGTGTATGTGTGTGCATGGCTGTATGAAGTTGCATGTGTTTATATGCACAGAGACATTTGTGTTTTTAGGTTTACGCATGTTAACATTGTATATTACAATACATTGACTATTGGTCTGCAAACCCTCTCTCTTTTATAGAATATATATATATATATATATATATATATATATATATATATATATATATGGATACATGCACACACACATACACACATCCCATTATCCTAGTTTCCAATAGACCTCACAACCTCTGAGGATGCCTGCTATAGATGGAGGAAAAATGTCAGGAGAGAATGCTTTTGGAACATGGCCATACAGCCCAAAAAACTTACAACAACCCAGTGATTCCGGCCATGAAAGCCTTCAACAATCGATCTAGTATGGTTGTCAGGGCCAAATAAGTTACTACACCTTGTCCAATACCACCAGAACCTTATCTGTTCAGGTTGGAAATTCAATATTTTTGTCTTAGTTATTTTCTAGACTGTCATTCTTTTTTTTTTTGCTCCTGTTCTTCATTTAAAGTTCAGCAACATGTAAAATATTGTAGCTACCTATGTAATTTCTTCACAGAGCAACTAAAAATCAACCTTATCACTGCCTGAAAGCATAAAATGTAATTAGCAGCACATCTCAATTGAATGAGATAGTGACGGTGAGCCTCCTTCATCCAGAAGACTACTAGACATACACTAAAATATGAATCACACAATGCAGCCTCTTCTGAATCCTGATCTGAAAATTCTGGCATCCACTCCAAAATCCAGCAAGATTTATCAATACATCCCACTTACTAAATGGGCAGAGGCATCATATGTCATACAACTTAGCCATTTTGCTTCGAAGAACAAAGACAGCAAAAGAAAACATCAATTTCCATTATTACTTTATCTCATACTTTCATGTGTATACATGAAATACTTTACCTTACCATAATAATTTCAAACTGCCCCAAAGTTCTGCTTTTATTGCATCAATTTCTTCATGGCTAATATTGAAGACTTCTGCATAGAGATAACTTATCCCTGGGCCAATGGAAGTACTGTACCTTAACTATTATTTTTTTAAAAGAATAATCTCCTTCTCTGAGTAGAGTGATGAAAAGCGAGAGTCTATTTCTTCTTCTTCCCTTGATGTGACACTACTAGCTTTTTTAAAAATGCCTGATAATAAAATGGAGGTCAAGGTGCCCAGGGGTGGATGGCCTCCAGAGGTAGCATTGTCATTTCCACTTTCTGTTGAAATGACTCTCGACATATCTACAAGTCATATCAGAATTCATAACTTTGATCCCAAAAACTTGCTATTAACTTATACACAAGGTTGACTTATACACAAGTATATACGGTAGCCTCCCATATATATATACATACACACACACACACACACACATACATACATACAGAATGATTACTCTCGAGAAGGGGAAATAGTTACAAATAATACTGATTTGTTATGATATCATTTTGATGTATGACTACATCTCTCTTTTCAGTATACAAATGTTTCCAAGATGGCTCACAACAAACAGTAATACAATTAACAGTCTCATACAATATGAAGTCCTTGAACACTATAATAAAGCAGGGTTAAAGGTATGTGTCAGGTGGAAATTATCAGTTACAAGATATGTTGGGGGGGGGGGAACTTTTACAGGAGAAATTCTGAACTACCTCTGTAGTGAATTCCTGAACTGTTTATCTATTGCTGCTCTCCTAACATTGGAAGAGTGTTAAACCAGGCTTGTGGAGAATAAGAAGTTTCCAATCTTTGCAGCCACAAAACAGAGAAACAAAGAAGTGAACACCTGTATTTGGTCAGACTTTAAATCAAATCCTACTGAAGGATAAGGGACATGCTTCAGCATCATGGAAAGTTTTGGAGCATTATGTGAGGCCCTGCTGCTCTTGTGCTAGTACTTCCCTTTGCTTTCTCTGCAGGGGGGCAGGTAGAGCGCCTACTGCACCTTTGCAGGTGTTGGCAGGATGTCTTCCTGCAGAGAGAAAAGCAATTCCTTTTAACAGTTAATATTAACTGGTTTACCAGAACAGGTGGCTCTCTTAGCTGATTGCTAAGTAAAAAGAATGCAGTTGCCTCCATTTCTTTTTCTGTCAGAGATCTTGAGAGTTCAGCAGCAAGCACATTTTCTCCTCTACCTACACTCCCATGTTGTCCTTGTTGCATTTCTCTCCGGTAACTATGATAACGAAATCCACATATACTTGATTCTCTAAGTCCCCTTGGGCGATAGATCAGTATATAAATAAAGATGATGATGATTAGAAACACAACAAGATGTGTCTACAGCAGACAAGATCACTCTGCTGGCTATTGTATTGGATCACACGTCGGACACTTCCCAAGTGTCTAGGACTGTGTGATGTATCAATGAATAATGCGTGCAGATCCCAGTAAGGGGGCCTTCTGGAGCTGGCAGATGGTAATTTTGTCAGTGCCGATTGTGTTTAAGTGCAGGCCAAGGTCTTTAGGCACTGCACCCAGTGTGCCGATCACCACTGGGACCACCTTTACTGGTTTGTGCCAGAGTCTTTGCAGTTCCATCTTTAAATCTTCATATTGTGTCATCTTTTCCAGTTGTTTCTCTTCAATCCTGCTGTCGCCTGGGATTGCAACATCAACGTTCCATACTTTTTCCGGCTTGTTTTCCCACCAGTTCTTTGTCGCAAGCAGATGGTATTTGTGGCACAAGTTCCAATTAATCATCTGAGCAATGGTGTTATGCCTCTGCTTATTGTCTGTCTGCACAATTTTCTTGCAGCAGCTCAGGATGTAATCTATTGTTTCATCTGCTTCCTTGCAGAGTCTACACTTGGGATCTGTCACTGAGTTTTTAATTCTGGCTTCGATTGCAATTATTATTATTATTATTATTATTATTATTATTATTAATATAAGAGCAGGGCTATGTCTGAACACAGCATTCATTTTCAAAGTGTGCTTTTAGTTGTAGTATACAGTAGTCTGTCCTGTGTGTTGCTTTCAAATCATATGTTCACTGATGGTATTATGGGTTGCCTTGGGTTTTCATAGGCATGAATAACTCTGAGATGGTTTTGCCAGTTCCTTCCTCTAATGCTGTGGTACTCAACCTGTGAGTCCCCAGGTGTTTTGGCCTACAACTCCCAGAAATCCCAGCCAGTTTACCAGCTGTTAGGATTTCTGGAAGTTGAAGGCCAAAACATCTGGGGACCCACAGGCTGAGAACCACTGCTCTAATGCATAGCCCACAACATGTGTTTTTTGTTGGCAATCTCCCAAGTTCTAGGCAGGACCATCCTCACTTAGCTTCCAAGATCAAATGGGATCTAGTGCCTTAGGGCATTTAGGCCATAAATATGCTTAAGTGCAATGCAATTCAGTAGAGCACATATGTGGCCTGGAAAAGGCATCTCAAGGAATCTAATGTGGGGGACTTTCAACACTAACCCTTAGTATCAAATATGTTCCCAGCTGTTTCTTTCTTTCTTGGAAACTTGTTGGTGACTGGCAACTTATGACTGGTGGGTCAGTACCCTCTATGACCTTGTGAGGGGAAAAAAAACAAAATATGTAATTGTAGTCCTACCCATAAACCTGTGCATGAACTGAAACAGGGTTTCTGATTTGTAGGTTTCTTTTCCCTGTATCTCTTGGGTTCCTGAATATATCAATTCCATCCATGGTGTCTGGAGATCCATTTCCCTTGATGGGAACCGTATGTAGGCCACAGGTGGAAGCAGCATCTGTGGTGTTTCATTAGGAGAGATGTGTGATATTCGTGCAGAATTGCATATTTGCAACTGAAGCGTTTCAGTATTCACAGCAGATTGTGAGCATCGTTTATCATAGGTGTGTGCGTGTGCGAGGAGGGTGCAGCATAAATGAACCCTCCTTTCCTGGATGTGTAGTTTTGTGATACACTAAGTATGGGTTGTAATCCTTTTTGGAATGAAGAAATTGCTACCTGATGCTGC